AGCTCCTTTACTCCCTCCTTGTCAGGCACCAGAGACTGGTCCTGGTCATCTGCCAGCGGGGTCCCTGCCTGGCGGTAGATGCAGCGCACCGTGTAGCGCACTTCTGACCAGTAGTTCTGCAGCTGCTGAGGTTCCCGGTCCGTCTCTGCCGAAATTTCTCTGTGAGACAACACAGGAAGGTTAGAAACTCACCACAATCTGCTGCCCTTCCTCACCTAGCACATTGTCCTCAGAGGACCTCCCAGACTCTTGTACCTTGCCCAGCTCCCAGGAGCCGGCAATCAGGGTGATGGCATCCCCAGCACAGCTCCCAGGGTGCAGTCTGCGTAAGAGCTTAGCCACTGCACAGATGACAGGAGCATCTGTGGCTACTGTTCATAATAAGGGTACCCACATCCCCACTGCTGATCTGGCCTTCAACTCCAAGGTACCTAATGGGCAGCCTTGCCCCCACCCTTTGGCCCCCACTTGGCTACATGCATTCCCTTCCTGAGCCAGAGCACAGAGCATTTTTAGATCTGCTCCCGGGCTGGGCATGGTGGCTCATGCCTGTAATCCCAGCACTTTGGGAGGTGAAGACGGACTAATTGCTTGAGTCCAGGAGTTTGAGACCAGCCTGGGCAACATGGCAAAGCCCCATCTCTACAAAGTATACAAAAATTAGCTCCACATGGTGGTGTGCACCTGTAGTCCCAGATACCGGGACTGAAGTGGAAGAAGTCACTTGAGCCTGGAAGGCGGAGGTTGTGGTGAGCCGAGATCACGCCACTGCCCTCCAGCCTGGAGGACAGAGCCAGACCCCGTCTCAAAAAAAAAAGATGAGCTCCTGGGCTCTCCCCTCAGCCACTCAGCGGCAGCCAGTCAGGCCCTCCCCCGTCACTCCTCTCATTCACTGAGGCTGCTCTTAGATTCTGATTATCTAAGGACTCCTCCTCTTGTTGTAAGGATGCTTCCTAGTGCCAGTTCTTCAAGAGCGGGAGTTTTTCTTACTCATCTGGTTCTTTCCCACAATAGCGAAGCAACTGCCTTACTCTTGTTGCTGTCTGTCACATTAGCCCAGTTTCTCGGTCCAGCTCCAATATGCAGGTCTGCATGTCACTGTGGACAGGTGTGAGCAACGTGGCACACATGTCACATACCTGCGCTCACTGCAGGCCTCGCACGAGCATGCGGTGTCCGAAGGCAGCGTCTGTGCACCCAGAGCGAGCCTCCCACCACTGCTGGCCTCCGGCTGGGAGCCACCAAGCGAGGAGTGAAGAAGAAAATCTTGGCTCTGCTTTAAAAAGAGAACAGAATAGACCAGTTATGTTAAAATGTTCAAGGCATCAATTTTTTATTAACTGCTCAGGAAAATGCCTTTTAAAAACTGTAAAACGTAGACATTGAAACGAAACTATCTTGGCTGGATGCAGTTGCTCACATTTGTAATCTCAGCACTTTGGGAGTCTGAGGTGGGTGGATCACTGGGCAACATGGTGAAACACCACTGCTACAAGAAATACAAAAACTAGGCTGGGCGTGTCGGAGCCTGCCTGTAGTCCCAGCTACCCAGGAGGCTGAGGTGTGAGGATCATTTGAGCCTGGGAAGTTGAGGCTATAGTGAGCCGTGATCATGCCCCACTGCACTTCTGCCTGGGTGACAGAGACATTGTCACACAGACACATGCACACAAAAAGGAAACAATTCGGCTGGGCATGGTGGTTCACACCTGTAATCCCACCACTTTGGGAAGCCGAGATGGGAGGACCACTTGAAGAGCCCAGACGTTTGAGACCAGCCTGGGTAACATAGCAAGACCTCGTCTCTATTTAAAAATTTTTTAAAGTATAAAAATTAATTGATATTAAATTTAAAAAGAAACAGTTTTACTCCCAGTGTCCTAATCAGCACACATGATGATCACCTCAGTGGGCACCTCTGGAAAGTGACATATGCCCACGGTTGCCTGAGACAGCACTTGGTAGAAACCTAGTGACCTCTCTGAGCCTAGCATCAAGCAGCCGGGGCAGAGGCCTCTCCGTCCTGGGGAATCCCACAGCCTGCACTGCCTGCTCTGACTGAGGAACAAGGAGGCTTCAGAGAACACTTGGCCAGGCACGATGGCTCACGCCTGTAATCCCAGCACTTTGGGAGGCCAAGGCAGGCAGATCACCTGAGGTCAGGAGTTCAAGACCAGCCTGACCCACATGGTGAAACCCATCTCTTCTAAAAATACAAAAACTAGCCAGGCATGGTGGTGCACGCCTGTAATCTCAACTGCTCGGGAGGCTGACGCAGGAGAATCGCTTGAACCTGGGAGGCAGAGGTAGCAGTGAGCCAAGATCGCGCCACTGCAGTCCAGCCTGAAAAACAGAGAGAGACTTTGTTTCAAAAAAAAAAAAAAAGAGAGAGAGAGAGAGAGAGAACACTGGGCAAAGACTTTCCTATGTCCCATGCCCAACAGTAAGCACCAAAAGGATTTCACCAACAACTAGAGAAACACAACATAACCTTAGGTTCCTCCTCCCGCTTAGTCACCCACCCATCCGGCACCGGGGCTCCTTCTAGAACAGGTCCTGAGAAGGACTCTGCTCCTTGGGAAAAGGGGCTCAGGTCTCAGAGCTGAGGGTGCCCACAGGGTGATGCAGGGTGCTAGAAAGGCTTCCCCAGGCTCACGACAGGGGCTGCCAGCTCCATAATCATTGCGTTCCCCTGATCCCCACAGCCTGAGGAAGAGAATCACAGTCACAAGAGAGACTTCCAGAAAGGAATTCACCTAATTCACGAGTATTGCACTATTCCCACTCTGGTTCCCACAAGGAAAAGTGTGCTCTCCTTACCAACCCCTCCCCCAATCAAGAATGAAGCCACTGAGACAAGCCCTCAGAGAGACAGGTGGTGGCCTATGGCAAGGAGCCTGGGGCTCACCCTGGGCTGGACTTGGCCAGGTCTGTTCAGAGGCCTGCACCACCCCAGTCTACTGCTGAGCCAAGCACAAGGAAACTCCCAAGGGCCTGTGGTGGGTGCTGTGGAGCTGCGACACAAAGACACTGGGGCAGGCCTCGCAGAAAAGACCCTGCAGCGAAAAGCCTGAGCATTGCTAGGTGGGCAGAGGATTAAGACAGCAGGGGACCTAGCTCAGCTGCCACTAGCACACAGAAGGGCAAGAGCTTGTGTCATCCTGAAAGAATCCCACCCCAAACAGGTCCTGCTGGGAAGCTGACCCCAGAATTACACCACGAGGGAGGAGGGGCAGAGTGTGGGATGGCAGTGGTAGGGGGAGGGGGGCAGGCTGGTTGTGCCACACAGAGTCTCAACCAGACAGTCCAGCATGAAGTCCCTACCGAGGTCTCAAAAGTGCCCAAAGGTCTGAGGTTTTGCTCTGTTCTGAATGTTTGTGCTCCCGCCTGCCCTTGTTCATAAGTTGAAATTTTAACCCCTAAGGGAATGTATCAGGAAGTGGGGCCTTTAGGAAGTGATTAGGTCATGAGGATGGCGTCTTCGTGAATGGGATTAACGTCCTTTTATAAAGGAGGCCCCAGAGAGCTGCCACATCCTTCCACCGCATGAGGACAGCGAGAGGGCACCAGCTATGAACCAAAGCTCAGCCCTCCCCAGGCACCAATCGCCAGCACCTTGATCTTAGACCTTCCAGCCTTCCAGACTATAAGATATAAATGTCTGCTGTTTATAAGCAGCCCAGCCCGTGGTATTTTGTTGTAGCAGCCTGAGCACACTATAGCAGCCTCCCGCAAGAAAGAGCCAGCAACCACTGGGCCACCCATTAGGACCACAGACCTAGTGCTAGTGGGCCAAAAAGAACCCGAGACAACCCAGAAGAGAACAAAGACCCCCAAGTCTCCACTCCAGAGCCCCTTCTCCATCCTGGAGGAACAGGGCAGGCATAAGGAGGCAGGACATACACCACCGCCCTCCACCCGTGGGGACTCCTGCCACCGCTTAACTTGAGGGGAAGAGGCTTTGGATTAATTACATGAGACATACAGTTTTTTTTGTTTTTGCTTTTTTGGTTCTTTTTTGAGACAGGGTCTCGCTCTATCACCCAGGCTGGAGTGCAGTGGTGCAATCTCGGCTCACTGCAACCTCCACCTCCCACGCTCAAGCAATCGTCTCACCTCAGCCTCCTAAGTACCTGGGACCACAGGCGTGCGCCACCACGCCTGGCTAACTTTTTGTATTTTTGGTAGACACAGGGTTTCACTATGTTGATCAGGTTAGTCTCAAACTCCTGAGCTCAAGTGATCCACCTGCCTTCGTTTCCAAAAGTGCTATGATTACAGGCACGAGCCAACACACTCAGCCATATTTAGGTTTTTATGTAGACTGGACCTGAGTACCTGAAAATGAGGCTACTCCCATACCAAAAGTGGCTGGAAGGCCATGGGGTTCTGATTGATGAGGCATGGTAGGACAAGAAGAGGGCAGTGGTAGAGGAGGCTGTTTCCTAAGCAGGTCCGTTCCCTTCAACAAGCAAGGTTCACAGTTTCCTCCATCCCACAGCCATCTAATAGCAAAGTTGTCCACTCCACCTCAATCCTAAATACCTCCACAATCCACCCATTCTTCCTCCGCTGCTTCTAACCCAGTCTAAGCCATCATCACCTACCTCTTGCCTGCACAGCTGCACTGCCTCTCTCTAGTGGCACACCTATTTCCACAGGTACCTGCTAATCATGCATTCTCCAGGCAGCAGCAGAGTGACATCACAGAGCTCCCAACATAAAACCTCTGTTCTCCTTAGAAGCAAACACTGTATCACTCCTCTGTTAACACAGAGGAGCACTGGAACTGCTCCTCTGTTATCACTTAGGAGCAAACACTGTATTTCTTACCACAGCTTTCAAGGCTGCTCAGGTCAAAGTTCTGCTTTTAAGTCACTGCCCTTGCTCCCTTTGCCTCGTACCCTTAGCCCATGAGCCTCTGAATGGCTTCTGGTAGACTGTAGAGTGCTGTCCCATTAGGTAGGCCTCAGCAAAAAGATCACCTACTCAGGGAGGCTGGTTGAGTCAACTGATTTTTTTGCCTCTCAACTCCAAATCTACCCTTTTTCACCACACTTACAACAAAGGAGCTGCACCCTATCAACATTTCTCCTCTGCCAGCAGGTAGGTACAATCTGTGGTCGTGTGGGTGGAAGGTGCTACAGGGACACTGAAGAAGGGGTCTCCCTCCAGGTTCCTGTGCTTTTCTCATCTTGCTCTTACCCCGAAGCAGCTCCTCGTCAGTGGTGTGCAGGGGACTGAGAGGCAAGCACTCTCCAGCACTCAGTCCCAGCCTGCAGGACCTCAGGGAGCCTCTCTGCTACCCAGTGGGGCATAACAATACCCCCTCCATGTCAGGGCCTCTTCCAAGTTTGTTCCTTTCTCGAGTCCCCTCCCTAAGCTCCCGTTAGTGGCTGCCCCCTAGATCTGCCCTGGCCATACTCTTTAGGGTTCACTTCACAGATCTGGGTGGCTGACCTCTTGCTACTTGTTAATTACTTTGAGTTGCACTCTTCTTGCCCAGGCTGGAGTGCAATGCTGTGATCTCAGCTCACTGCAGCCTCCGCCTCCTGGGTTCAAACGATTCTCCTGTCTCAGCCCCAAGTAGCTGGGATTACGGGAGCCCACCACCACACCTGGCTAATTTCTGTATTTTTAGTAGAGACAGGGGTTTCACCACGTTGGCCAGGCTGGTCTCCCAACTCCTGACCTCAGGCGATCCGCCTGCCTCAGCCTCCCAAGGTGCTGATTACAGGCGTGAGCCACTGCACCCCACCACTTGTTAATTATCTTTATGTTAAACACGTGCTTGTTCTGATTATGGGTGCAGTGCCCATCTCCTGAGCTCTGGCTTCCCCATCAACCTAAACATCCCAGTTAATCCCTATTAAACTGCTATCTGAAATCCTGGTGTTCTACTCGCATTCTTGTTTTTTTAGCTGTCTTCAACACTGGAAAATCAGTTCATGAGAGCCACAACCTATCTACTCGCTCACTATGGTACATCAGCACCTATGATGATGGCTGGAACGCAGTACACTCAGAAGAACAATCAAGAACTTGAAAGTAACATTTCCTGGAGATGAGATGAAGGTAAGTCTTAAAATAGGGTACGTGATGACTACATATTAAATCCTTAAATGTGTCCCATTATAGCACTCACAATATACAGATTTAACCTCAGTCATGTTTCACCCAAGTCTAACACAATTTAAAAGAAAAATAACAAAATCCAGCTATTGACAATGTAAAATTCACAATGTCCACCATCCAGTAACAAAATCAAAAGCAGGACAATGACTCTTAAGAAGGAGGAAAAGCCAATCTGTAGAAACAGATCCCCCAGGCCAGGTGTGGTGGCTCACGCTTGTAAATCCAGCACTTTCAGAGGATGAGGCGAGTGGATCACTTGAGGTCAGGAGTTCGAGACCAGCCTGACCAAGATGGCAAAATCCCGTCTCTACTAAAAATACAAAATGTAGCCAGGCATGGAGGCACAAGCCTGCAATCCCAGCCATTCAAGAGGCTAAGGCAGGAGAATTGTTTGAACTGAGGAAGGGGGGTTGCAGTGAGACTAGATCATGCCATTGCTAGATCGTGCCATGCACTCCAGCCTAGGTGACAGAGAGAGACACTATCTCAAAAAAGAAAGAAAGAGAGAGAGAGAGAAAGAGAGGGAGGGAAGGAGGGAGGGAGGGAGATAAATTCCCCAGGCCAGGTGTGGTGGCTCACACCTGTAATCCCAGCACTTTGGGAGGCAGAGGCAGGCAGATCACCTGAGGTCAGGAGTTTGAGAGCAGCCTGGCCAACATGATGAAACCCCATCTCTACTAAAAATACAAAAATTAGCTGGGCGTGGTAGCACGTGCCTGTAATCCCAGCTACTCAGAAGGCTGAAGCAGGAGAATCATTTGAACCCAGGAGGCAGAGGTTGCAGTGAGCCGAAATCGTACCATTGCACTCCAGCCTGGGTGACAGAGCGAGGACTCCATCTCGAAAAAATAAAAAAGAAACAGATCTCCCAAAAAACAGAGATGATACAACTAACAATCAAGAATCTAAAATTGGCAATTATAAAGAAACTCCATATGTTCAAGGAACAAAGGAAAAATAAACATGATGGGAAGAGAAACTGAAGATGACAATAAATAAATCAAATGAAACTTCCAGAGCTGATAAATAAGATATAAAAGAAAAAAATACACTAAACAGACTTGGCAGATTAAGCAGATCAGAATACCAATAAACCTGAACACAGGCAATAAAAATAATCCAGGCCAGGCACAGTGTCTCACGCCTATAATCCCAGCACTTTGGGAGGCCAAGGTGGGTGGATCACCTGAGGTCAGGAGTTGGAGACTAGTCTGACCAACATGGTGAAACCCCACCTCTACTAAAAAATACAAAAATTGGCCAGGCGCGGTAGCTCACACCTGTAATCCCAGCACTTTGGGAGGACGACCGTGGGCGGACTACCTGAGGTCAGGAGTTCGATGGAGAAACTCTGTCCCTACTAAAAATACAAAATTAGCTGGGCATGGTGGTGCATGCCTGTAATCCCAGCTACTCAGGAGGCTGACGCAGGAGAATCACTTGAACCTGGGAGGCAGAGGTTGCAGTGAGCCGAGATCACACCATTGCACTCCAGCCTGGGCAACAAGAGCGAAACTTCATCTCAGGAAAAAAAAAAAAATAGCTGGGCATGGTGGCAGGCACCTGTAATCACAGCTACTTGGGAGGCTGAGGCAGGAGAATCACTTGAACCCAGGAGGCGGAGGTTGTAGTGAGCCGAGATCGTACCATTGCACTCCAGCCTGGGCAAAAGAGCAAGACTCTGTCTCGAAATAAATAAATTAATTAATTAAATAATCCAAAATGAAGCACAGAAAAGACCGAAAAAATTGACAAAGCATTTGTAGGACAAACTCAAGATGTCTAACATCCCAGAAAAAAAGAGGATTATGTGAAGAAATACTTGAAATATTTCTAAATTTGATGAAACTATAAACTCACACACATAGGCCCACACTCACTACAAGTTCAATTAACCCAAAGCACACTAAACACAAAGCAAAGCACAGAGGCCCGTCACTGTCAAATTGCTGAAAACCAGAGTGACAAAGCGCCAATCTCAGAAGCAGAGGAAAATGAGTCACCACCCTACACATGCAGGAGCAAAGATAAGGATGACAACATGTTTCTCCTCACAAACTGGGGAGGCCAGGAAAGAAATGACCAACAACCTCAAATTCCAAACAGAAATATCTTTTTAAAACAAAGGCAAAATAAAAGCTTTCAAACAGAAGCTTCCTTGGCCTACAGGAAATGTTAAAGGCAGTTCTTGAGATAGAGAAAAAATAATACCAAATGAAAAGTGAATCTACACAAAGGAATGGAGAGCACCACACATGATAAAGATGTGGGTCAAGAACTTATTTATAAGGTCTTTTAAAAAAGATAATTAGCTATTTAAAGCAAGCGAAAAAAAAAAAAAAACCCCACCACAATGTATGCTGAGGCGTATAAATACATGTAAGAAAAATACACAACATTAGCACCAGAAATGGTGGTGCTCCAAATGTACTACTGTGAGGTACTTACACTATATGAGAAGTGGTATACTATTCTTTGAGAGTAGAGGCTGAAAAGTGGAAGCTATAGCTAAAAAATTATAAAACTAAGAAAAAGAAATACAGGTAGTAAGGTCAACAGGAGACAAAATGAAAGAATTTAAAATATTCATAGCTGGACGCGGTGGCTCACACCTGTCATGCCAGCACTTTGGGAGGGTGAGGCAGGTGGATCACTAGGTCAGGAGATCGAGATTAGCCTGGCCAAGAAGTGAAACCCCGCCTCTACTAAAAATAAAAAAATTTGCCAGATGCAGTGGTAGGTGCCTGTAATCCCAGCTACGTGGGAGGTTGAGGCAGGAGAATCACTTGAACCCGGGAGGCAGAGGCTGCAGTGAACTGAGATGGCGCTACTGCACTCCAGCCTGGGCGCAGAGTGAGACTCTGTCTCAAAATAATAATAATAATAATAATAAAAAAAATAAAATAAAATAAAAACATACTTCTGACCAACACATGGATAAAAAAATATTCATTTAAAAAAAAAATTTTTTTGGAGATGGAGTCTCGCTCTGTCACCCCGAGTCCAGTGGCGCATCTCAGCTCACTGCAACCTCCGCCTCCTGGGTTCAAGCAATTCTCCTGCCTCAGCCTCCTGAGTAGCTGGGATTACAGGCACATGCCACCACACCCAGCTAATGTTTGCATTTTAGTAGAGATGGGGTTTCTTCGTGTTGCTCAGGCTGGTCTCAAACTCCTGAGCTTGGGTAATCCGCCCACCTCAGCCTCCCTAAGTGCTAGGGTTACAGGCGAGAGCCACCACGCCCAGCCACTTAAAATATTCAATTCATTGGACGGGCATGGTGGCTCACACCTGTAATCCCAGCACTTTGGGAGGCTGAGGAGGGCAGATCATGAGGTCAGGAGATCGAGATCATCCTGGCTAACACAATGAAACTCCATTTCTACTAAAAATACAAAAACAAAATTAGCCAGGCATGGTGCGGGCGCCTATAGTCCCAGCTACTCGGGAGGCTGAGGTGGGAGAATGGCATGAACCTGGGAGATGGAGCTTGCAGTGAGCAGAGATCACGCGCCACTGCACTCCAGCCTGGATGACAGAGTGAGACCCCGTTTCAAAAAAAATTCAATTCATTTAAAAGAGTAACAAATAACAGATGGGAAAAATAGGAGAAAAAATGCAAGATGGTATGTTTAAACCCAAACAGATCAATAATTACATTAAAGGGAAAGAGTGTAAATACTACAATGATTAGCAGAGAAGGTCAGACTGGTCTTTAAAAAAGTAAGAGCTCCTAAGCTACAAGAGATGATAAAGAGGTTAAAAAGAAAGGTTGGGAAGCCATATTCCTTGTACACACTAATCAAAAAAGGCTAGGTGGCTCTCAGTGTAAGACAAAATTTGCTTCACAACAAGGAGTTCAGTAACAACAAAGAGGGATATGATGATGCTGATGATGACGACGGTGGCATTAATTCAACAATTAGAAATAACAGTGCTAAATGGTAAATACTTTAACAACAGAGCTCAAAATACATAAAGTAGAAATTGAAAGAAATATACCAATCCATAGTTACATTTAGAAGTTTCGGCTGGGCGTGGTGGCTCACGCCTTAACCCAAGCACTTTGGGAGGCTGAAGCGGGCAGACTGCCCAAGCTCAGGAGTTCAAGACCAGCCTGGGCAACACCATCTCTACTAAAATACAAACATTAGCAGGGCATGGTGGCGTGCACGTGTAATCCCAGCTACTCAGAAGGCTGAGGCAGGAGAATCGCTTGAACCCGGGAGGCAGAGGTTGCAGTGAACTGAGATCGTGCCACTGCACTCCAGCCTGGGCGTAGAGTGAGACTCTGTCTAAAAAAATAAAATAGGCCAAGCACGGTGGCTTGCACCTGTAATCCCAGCACTTTGGGAGGCCGAGGCAGGCAGATCACGAGGTCAGGAGATCAAGACCATCCTGGCCAACATGGTGAAACCCCATCACTACAAAAAATACAAAAATTAGCTGGGCATGGTGGTGCATGCCTGTAGTACCAGCTACTTGGGAGACTGAAGCAGGAGAATTGCTTGAACCCGGGAGGCAGAGGTTGCAGCGAGCCGACATTGCGCCACTGCACTCCAGCCCGGTGACAGAGAGGGGCTCTGTCTCAAAAAAATAATAAAAAATAAAATAAAAACATACTTCTGAACAAAACATGGGCCAATGAACAAATCATAAAGGCAATTATAAAATATTTTGAGTAGAATGAAAACCATTACGTATCAGAATTTGTGGGATGCAGCTAAAGGAATGCTTAGACAGAAATTTACAGATCCTGTGTGATTGGTGCAAATTTTAAAAGAAATGTATAGAATTAAACACATTAGAAAAGAAGAAAGGTCTCAGATAAAATGATGTAAACTTCCACCTTAAGAAACCAAAACAGGCTGTTACAAATGCAGTGCTGTTGATAACTAACTGTTCACAACCACTACAGATTTCTTTGTTCCTTCTTGACT